CAAGTGTGTGTGTGTGTGTCATGTAATCATGTGTGTGTGTGTCTTGTCATCAAGTGTGTGTGTGTGTCATGTAATCTAGTGTGTGTGTGTCTTGTTATCAAGTGTGTGTGTGTCTTGTTATCAAGTGTGTGTGTGTCTTGTTATCAAGTGTGTGTGTGTTGTAATCTGGGATATACGGTACACGCACGCACGACACACGTGCGCGTGTGTATATACATACAGGGTGGGGGATATGTATAGTTATGTACTGTATATATATACACATACACCGCATAGCATATCATCATATACCGTATATATACAGGGTGCTTCAACAATGTTTGTTAAACACTTATATGGGACTATCGTTTTCAATGGAAAAAGATCGGATACTACACTGTGACATGATACCAAATGTAATGGTAATAGCTTCAAAAAGTCAAAGAGTCTCCCACTTGTGCGCCATCGTTGTCAACGCGTGCCCTATAATCTTCTCCAGGTGATCTCCAGAGCCTGGAGGCAGCAGCACATTGATACTGTGTAGGAACCTCCTGGTTACTACACCAGCCCACAGGGGATTATTGTGTCCGTCCGTCCGTCGTGCATCCACAAATGGGAGGGGTGGGGCTGGGTGGAGAGGGGAGGGTGGGGAGGGGCTGGGTGGGGAGGGTGGGGAGGGGCTGGGTGGGGAGGGGAGGGTGGGGAGGGGCTGGGTGGGGAGGGTGGGGAGGGGCTGGGTGGGGTGTGGGAGGGGTGGGGCTGGGTGGGAAGGGGCTGGTCACCCCGTGGTGCCCTTATAAAACTCAACGTTTAACCTACTCACGTCCGGCTTGTGCCCGCCCTCACAGTCGGGCATATTTGCGGAATACACCACGTGGTGCCGCCGTTGATCCTGGCCATTGACCGAGCAACCCAACGTTCCTACCAGCTCCCTCCGCAGGAATGTGTTTGTGGTATAGTTGCAAATTCTCCCAAGTGTTCACATTTTTCTGAAGCACCCTGTATGTGCAGAATCAATTCGCGCCTTTGCGTGCATTTTCATTTACAATATCAGGTGTACAATTGGAGGCCGTAAAATCAGTGATGACATACTCAACCTTCAAGGAAACGTCGCCAGCAGCAGCTGATGTGTTATCGCCTCCCTATATCTTAATTACATTCATGCAAGTCGCCACATTTACATACTCGACAATTGGGTTTTTATTAGATTTATTCTTCTTGTATAAATGCCCCTGTGTTCCATCTACCCAACTCACCCACTACTCGCTGTCGTTGCAGATAGACAACTCCCGTACCGAACTTTACAAAAAACTTTCAAGGAGAACGACCGTGGATTCTAACCTGGGATTTCATTCCAGCCGGAAAGTACATTTGTCCGCCCAGGGCTAAGCTCCTGAAAATATTTCCACGCCACCCATTGGCTGGGCTGCCGGGGAGAAGGGGAATATTCGCGTGTGGGCGATGGGCAGCCAACCCCACCCTTCCCCTCCCCTACCCCACGGTTAATACTTAATGAGAAATTAATGCTGGATGCTCCCCTGTTTTTGTGTCAAACACATGTAATCAACAACAAATATCAACACATTCGTCAATAATTTATCACTGTGTGGTCCTAACAGGAAAAAAAGGTTGTAATATATAATATATGCGACGTTTCGGACGATGAGCCTTCTTTATAGGACGAACTACATGCATTGCATGTGCTATGAAAAAGGACCATTGCTCGATACGTCACACACATTTTTTTCTCTTTCAAGGCCACATACACACAGAGTCTTTTTAATATTATCGGCGAACCTGTCGATTCGTATTGCTGTTGTTACCTGTGCTTGTTCCACCACTGCCAACCCAGCAGCGTCAGCAGCAGTAGCAATCACCGACATAATTCATAGAATACGCGTCACGTGCGCGTCTGCAAGAGCTCGCCATCGATTTTTGCTTATTTTACAAAAGGCGAACGGAGAGCCGCAGCGATGTTTCCGATTGTTCCAGACGGATCCTCTTTGTAAATACGTCTCTAGAAAGACAAAGACCCCCCCCCCCCCCCCACCCAACCACACCGTATAGCCTCCAAAGCCTGTTGGGACAAGTGCTGTTAGCGAGCACCCAGGTATATAAACACACGCGCACACGCGCGCACACGTGGGGCAATTGTTGCAACCATCACCCAGCCTTCACGCGACAGCTTCATCGCAGTCACCGCCTTCTCCGGATTATAAGACACGTTTGTATTCACCGGAGTGTAAGGCGCACCCGTATTTTAAAGCAAAACAAGTCTTATACAATTATAATCTTGGACGTGTGCGCGTGTGTATCTGCCAGTCATCTCAGACAGTCAAGCCATGGCACCTGCAGGGTCTGTCCCGTGACCTCCCGCCAGCGAGCCTTCGACACTTCACGTGGCCCTCAAAGTCTACCCGGCCTGTGTGTACGCGTGTTGGGGTGCTGTGGTGTTAGCGGTTAGCGCGCCGCGTTGCGAACCCGGCGACCCGAGTTCCATTCCGGCTCACGGCCACCAATACCAGTGACGGTTATCTGAACCGGTCCTAGGCCTCCCCCCCCCCTAGGTCGACTCGGCCTCAAATGAGTACCTGGGTGCGATGCGTAAACATCGGAGATAAAAGGAGGGGGGGGGGGGTCCGGCGTGGTGCTGGCCACCCCGCCCCTTCGTCCACCGTGCCGGCTTTCACAGGTGCTCGCGAACAGCACTCGCCCAAAAAAGGTCTGTCCAGGTTACACGGGGGATCTTTGCCCTTGTGTGTGTGTGATGCGTGATAACTCTACCGGCACCGAGGCACACGTTTTTTTTTGTGTGTGGGGGGGTGGGGAGGGGGGTGAGTCTTACTTTCGGGAGCGTCTTGTGATCGGGAGAATACGGTAACAACGTAGGCAGGCGCTCTGCCGAGTCGATACAAGGGTAGTCGGGGGAGACACGAGACTTGGTATGGGTGCCGAAACGAATAGAAACATCCCCTGCAACTCTCAAACGAACCGTGACACACACACACACGCACGCATACACGCGCGCGCGCACATTACAAGCTTAAAGTACATTGCCGTATTTTCCTAAAATCTTCGAAGTCGTCATCAGTCTCTGAATTTAATGTCGCAGCGACACTCCCGTCGCACTGGCACGCCAACGTGACCCACCGCGGCCCCACGCCTGAGCAATACATTTGACGCGCAACCGGTTGCGTGCAACCCGGTTTCGCGTGCAACTGAATCTCTCTGAAGGAGCGGACGTCTTTTGCGAGCAGTCGCGAGCGGTTGCCGCGACCGGGTTTCTCGAAGCGACGCGTTCTGCACCACGCTGCGATTGGGCATCGTGGGGCGCCACGGTGGCTCGGAGATGTGAACAACCTCGCCCGGTATGCAGGAGTGCGTGGGTTCGATCCCGACCCTGTCGCGGTGTCTCTCTCTCTCTCTTCCTGCATGTGGTCACGTGGATTTTCTTTCTGCGGGTCCTCCGGGATTTCCCTCCACATTTAAAATCAACAGCCACTGCTATACATGTCCATACTTAGCGGAGCACTCCGCTTTGGCGCTCACCCACCACGCTTCAATTGGCACCGCCGTTAAACACTCATTCTTGGACTCGACTCTAAGCCACGTATGTAGAAATACCATAATAATTATATTAAAATAAATCAATCACGACGTTTTTCTTAGGTTTGTTGAATTCTCGTCTCTCATCTTCTTGTTGTATTTACCTCCGTGCAGTTTAACGCTCTCTATGTGTTGCGTTGATGTCACCCTATGTGCTATTTGTTTTTTTTACACCCGATGAAGATCGCTTGTGTTGCGGTCGAAACGTCGTGATTTATTTTATTTTAATGTGATTTTATGGTATTTCTACATACGTGACTTTACCGAAAAAACCAATGAGTAATTTATGCAGTCACGAAAGCTTTAATTCTTTATTGACTCTAAAAACAACCCCTCTATAATTGTCAGTCTCCCCTCCTTCGTTCTATCATCATCGTCGCCAGATGATCAAATGGGTCACCCACGAATCAGTGTCGACCAGCCGCAGTGGAAGGAGCGCCTCGAGCTGGGTCAGCACCCGGGGAGCCATCGGTGATCAAACAACTCATCGCGAGAAACTCGGGTTGCCCGCGACTGCTTTGCCCACATCCGAGCGAGCGGTTGCGGCGGCAACAGGCCGAGTTCGACTATTAACTAAACTGCAAACTAAACTAGTTTGTATCTGAGCAGCTAAGACCCCCGAAGCTATGTAGCTCTTTTTACAGAAGCGACCCCGGCTATCACAAATGATGGCTCAACGAAGTGGGCTCATCGTCATCACGTGGAAGTTCAATGCAGACAAATACTCTAAAAGCACGTTGTTGATTCTCAAGGTGGAGGGAGGGGGGGGGGGACACCGGAGGACCCGGAGAAAAATCGACGCGACCATCGGGAGAGAGAGACACCACAAACTGCAAATATGCAGGGGTCAGAGTCGGGATCGAACACACGACCTCCTGCATACCAGGCGAGGTAGTTAACATCTCGCAACAGTGGCGCCGTGCCATCTCTCGCCCTCGCTGGGGCTTTAGAAATGTCTCCGCGTAAGTGGCCCGCTGACTGGAGTGTACAGAACTATACCGGAGGCAGATTTACTTTTTTTGTTGAGTTGGTGTCATTCAAATATATATTTTTCCCCCCCTCTCTTGACAGTAAGGCATTGTATCATCGTGACATTTTAAATGTACATTATATAACCAGAGTCACTGCCTGAGGGCTTGCAGTCATCAGAGTAAAATAAATAAAATAAAAGCTTGATGGGTTATTTAATTATATATATATATGCCGTATTCAGCTACATAAACTCCAGTGGGAGAAATCGAGCTTTTGACGAGCACGTGTGTGCGTTTGTGTTAACATGTGTTTCGATTCCCGCTCACGGCCAACACCGGTGCCGATTATCTGAACCGGTCATGGGCCTCCCCCTAGGTCGACTCAGCCTTAAATGAGTACCTGGTGCGGTGTGTAAACATCGCCACTAGGGAGACAAAGGCGGCCGGGCGTGGTGTTGGTCATCCACCCCTTCGTGTGCCGTGCCGGCCTTAATAGGTGCTCCCTAAACAGCACTTGCCCCAACAGTCTGTTCAGGCTATACGGGGGATATTTGTCTCTGTTAAAATGTGTGGGGAGCATTCGTGGAATGGTCAGAGCAGATCGATTCCTGCCCATGGCCAACATTGGTAATGAATATCTGAAGCAGTCCTGGGCACCCCCTAGGTCGACTCAGCCTCAAATGAGTACCTGGTCCAGTGTGTAAACATCGCCACTGGGGAGACAAAGGCGGGCAGACGTGGTGCAGTGCCGGCCTTAATAGGTGTTTGCTAACAGCATTTGCCCTAACAGCGTGTTCTGCCTATATCGGGGATCTTTCTCTTTGTATTCAAATATTGTTTTACTTATAAATATTGACCTATTTAAGAGGTCTACATCGTGTGACCGTGAGAGGTGACGGAGGATTGGGGAGGCCTTCATCCAGGAGTGGATTGACCATGACTGACAATGATGATGACCACGATGACGGTGACTGACAATGTCCCCAAAATTTAGTGCACGGCTTAAGTCGGTGTCCAGCACAGCCTCGTGAAATGTGCTCGTCCACTCACGCACGGTGACCCCCTGTGTAGCTAAACACGCCAAAGTCTCGTTTCCTGACACTTGACCTGAGTGCCTCTTGGGTGAATTTCAAAAAAGGCGTTATCTGCTCTTGCTCTCCTCTACCCATCTCTTTATCTTCTCTACCTGTCTTCCTATTGCTCTACTCGCTGTACCTATCTCTCATCCAATCCATCTTCTCTCTCCCACTTTGTCACAGCTCACTATATCCATCTCTCTATTTCTTTCTGTAGCCGTCTTACCCGTGCGTCACGTAAGATATTTTTTGTTTCCTGGCACTGGTTGCCCATATTGGCATCGTGTGCCATCTCGTCTTTGGTTGCCAGTCGAGCGGTCTCTACAAGTTTTTACAAAACGTTCGCCCTCATCCCGTGTCACGGGCACCCCATCGCAGCGTGGCCATACTTCACAGCGAGCTTCATCTCGAGCAGACTTCACGTCAAACCGTTTCAGGATGAACGCGGGTCGCATTTCAGTGGCCGTTCTTGTCCCTTGTAAACGTAAAAAAAAAACTAAAACGAATAACCCACCATTGGGAGGTAGATATAAAATTTAAATATTTCATTTGATAATTTTTAAGTGACAAAAGCCACGCCAGGATGCGACCCCTTGTTCGTGCGAACCTTGTAATGAATAGTCGTGTGACGAGTTTAATTTTTAAGCAAGTGTTATTGGAACAATAAAAAAAATACTAAGCAATGCGCTGGAGAAAAAAAAAAAACAGCCCAAAATTTTCCGCAGACAATAATTCTGAAACCGTCTCCACATATAATAGTGGCATGGCGATTTCAACCAAAACCCGGAGTGAACAACTGGCAAGGTTGGGGTGTGGGAGAGCGCTGGTGATGACATGAAGACCCACGGGCAGGTTGTGACACAGATTTACGGAGCAAACATACGTGAAAAAAACACCCCCCGAAAATGCCGAAGCAAAATGACAGTGACTTGAATGCGCAAATCACAGCAGCGTGGGCAGCCATTGGACACAAGAGCGGCACGACCCGGCTGCGTCGCCACGTTTAATGCCTTCCACGTCAGCTCCAAACTCTCCACCATTGATTGAACAAACTCACTCTTGTCTCTAAGACGCCAGCAACAGGCGAGCTTAGAGTGGCTCCTTCCAGGTCTTTATCTCACGAGAAGTCAGTGTCCACAGTCTGTTAGCTACAGTCCATTTAGACTTCACGAGCCTCTAACTTCGTGTCGACTTCATGAGACTCTGGCACATTAAGATTTCAGGAATCTTCAGTCCGTTTCAACGTATTGAGTCTCCTCTCCATTTAGACTTCACGAGACTTTGGTCCATTGAGATTTCACTAGACTCCAAATCCTAGGTTTCAATCTGGCAGATGGCAGCTGTGTGTGTATGGTATGGTCCACACCTTAAGTTTTTGACCGATAGCCCGAGAACACTTTGCAAATGATTGTGGTCATCCTCAAGCTGTGTTGGAGACAACTTGACAAGCCAGATGTCCTGTGGTCCGGTCACTTGGAGACTGAGATTGTCAATCTTTACAAAAACGATGCCACAAAGTGGGGATGTACATTCTTACACCATTATTTCATCACCCCCCTCCATCCCCTCCCCTCCCTACCTCCCCCTGCTGCATTACCGTGGTCATTCGCAACCAGCCTTCTTCTGTAATCAATTAAATCTTTAGAAACTTGAGCTTACAATTTTACCCTACCACTCCGAAAAGGGGGGCGGGGGTCAAAATAATAAAATAAAAATGTAAAAAGGGCGCATTAGCGAATCCTAAAAAAAACGATGACAACGACAGCAAAAAAATAAAAAAAATAAAACGGCTGTTACCCGAACGAGCCCCCAACGAAAGCGAAGCGGTTGCCCTCGCCCGGTGCCTTAGCACATGGCGGGCACCATGCTGGAATGGTGGGCCGAGCCGAAGGACAGGCTCGCGGGCGGGTGCATGGAGGAGTGCGACGGGATCACGTGGGCAGGATAAGGGCTGAGCGGGTGGTGCCCCAGAGTGCTGAGCGGTCCGATGAGTGCCGGCGCGCCGTAGTGGCCCTGCTTGTCGTGGAAGCTCTTGGCGTAGTCGTTCTCCAGTCCATCGCACACCACCTTGCGGTTCTTCTTGGACTTGCCCGTCATCTTGCGGTTGCGGGTCTGGATGCCCTCCTTCTTCATGGTTAACGGGCGGTTTATCTGTGGTGGTGGTGGTCGTGGTGGTGGCAGGGTAGTGGGGGAGAAGAAGAGAAATAAATTATAGAGGTCGTGAGCACCTGGAAATATGGTATACAGGAGGTTGTGGGTTCGATCCCGACCTTGACGCCTGTTGTCTATTTTGAGTTTGCATCTTCTCGTAGTTGCGTGGATTTCTTGAGGTCCTCCGGTTTTTCCTTCCACATATATAATCAATGTGCATTTAAAGTATTTGGCTGCAATACATTTCTCCATGATAAGGCACTTTGTTGAGCTATCATTTGTAACCAGGTAGCTTCTGAAAAAGTGCTATTTTGCTCAGTAGGCTTTACCTGGTAAAATAAAAATAGTTATAACTGAGGTCGATGCAGCACCTTCACGATCACGTGGGGGCAGGGATGCAACCACTGTGGGTGTTGTGGAGGCCCAAACACACCCAATATAAACTAAACTCAAAATTTTCTTTATTTTACCAGGTAAGGCTCACTGAGTTTCACAGCTTTTTTTCAGAAGCGACCTGGCCACAAATGATAGCTCAATGAAGTGGCTTGTCATGTGAAAATGTACAGTGGCCAAATACCCTCAACGCACGTTTCTAAATGTGTAGGGAAAAACCAGAGGACCCAGAGATAAATCCCCACGACCACGGGGAGAGAGACATACAAACTCCAGATATACAGGCGTCGCAGTTGGGATCGTACCCACAACGTCCTGTAATACTAGGTGAGGTAGTTAACATCTCACCACTGTGGCACCCTTGTTTAGATTAGGCCGTGCCCTGTTTTAGGCCATGTCGTTTATTAGGCTTTTCTCTGTATAGGCCGTGCCCTGTGTAGGCCTTGCCCTGTGTGGGCCGTGCCTTACATTAGGCCATACCCTATGTAGGCCATGCCTTGTATTAGGCTGTACCCTGTATTAGGCTGTGTCCTGTTTAGGCTGTGCCTTGTAGTAGGCTGTATCTTGTATAAGGCCTTGTGTTAGGCCGTGCCCTATGTAGGCCATGCCTTGTATCAGGCCATGCCTTGTATAAGGCCATGCCCAGTGTAGGCCGTGCCCTGTAATAGGCTGTATCTTGTATAAGGCCATGCCCTATGTAGGCTGTGCCCGTTATTAGGCCATGCCTCGTATAAGGCCTTGCCCTGTGTAGGCCGTGCCCTGTATTAGGCCATGCCCTGTGCTGTGCCATGGCGAATGCGGGGGGGGGCCCATGCCACGTCTGGGCGTGCAACGCACGTTGTGGAGTTTGTAGTAGAGGCCGCAGGCGTTGCACACGGGGTCCCCGCTCGCGTTGCGCCTCCACAGCGTCGTGATCGTTGTCTGGCAGTTGGCGCAGGAGGTCCCCGCCCGCCGCGCTGCGGACTTCATGCAGAAGTCAGGGAGGAAGCGGCAGGTAGACGATTAATTACTCAACTATTGTTTTATTTTACTGGATGAGGCCCACTTAGCCATGTAGCGCTTTTGTAGAAGCGACCTGGCCACAAACGATAGCTCAAAATGGATTATGTTGACGTTTGTAGCAGTAGCCAAATACTCTAAACGCATGTTTCTAAATGTTGAGGGGAAAACTGGAGGATCCGGAGAAAAATCTACGTGACCACGGAGAGAGACACGCCAACTCCAAATATACAGCAGGCTTCAGGGTAAGCAATAGAACCCACGACCTCCTAGCGTACCAGGCGAGGGAGATACCATCTCGTCACACCATGTCCCGCTCAGTGCTGAAGAATGCTCTCCGACTAATGGCGAAAGAGTTTAGGTTTTGGCTTCGTCTGTTTGCCCATAATGGAGGGGGGCACAACAACAACCACCGCAGAGATAAACGCAATAGAGATGAATCACTTGTTTTTCTGTTTACACGCAGGCAGAGGTGTGTGAAGGAAGAGGCGGACTGTATGCTCGTTCATTTTGTTACTTGTCTTCCTCCATAACGACGCTAATGACGTACAAGAGTCGGTCAAAATACCCTCCAGAGGGGCTCGCTGGAGCTCACTTCGAGTGGAAGCCCCTTCCGCTAGCAAGGGCGTGAGCCGAGCACTTGCAGGGTCGCACCCTCGCCAGCCTCCACCTCCCACCCCTATCCCTGGCCAATCACTCTTCAGTGCTTGTGTGTGTGTGTGCGTCATTGCACAATACGAACATTTCGCGGAATTTGCTAAACCCACGCTTTCCCATTACATTTCGTGGTAATGCACAGTGACTTACTGGTGTGATGTACGTATGTGTGTATTTTGAACCTCTTCCGCACCGTAGGGAGCCAACCGTGCAGTGTGGCAGTGCGGTGTGGCTTGGATGATGCGGTGTGTGATGGTGTGGCGTGGACGCATTTAAGCACGGTCGTGGTGTGGTGCGGGCCGGGTAGCATAGGTGTCGTGAGTCGCTGGCGTTGCACAGCGCGGTGTGGCAGTGTGGCATCGGGTGGCACACTCTGGTGTTGTGTAGTGTGGGTGCACTGTTGTGCGGTTGAGGCAGGTGGCATCGGTGAGTCGCTGGTTGCGCGAAAGAGCGGCGTGGCACGGGTAGGCACGGTGCGGCGTGGCACGGGTAGGCACGGTGCGGCGTGGCACGGGTAGGCACGGTGCGGCGTGGCAGTGTTGCGCGGGTGCAGCGCCGGGGGAGCGTGTGGGTGCTTGGCGCTACCAGGCGGCGCTTGGGCTTGATGAGGGGCCGGTTCTGGCCGTTCATCTTGTGGTAGAGGCCACACGCGTTGCACAGGTAGTGGCCCGTGCCGTCCCTGCGCCAGAGCGGCGTCGAGGTCGCGCCGCAGTTGACGCATTCGCGGCCCTCTGATGGTGCATCCGTGGGTGCCCGCACAGACGCGCACACACGCACACACACACACACGCGCACACAGACGCACACACACGCGCACAGACGCGCACACGCACACGCACGCGCACACAGACGCACACACACACGCGCACACAGACGCACACACACACACACGCGCACAGACGCACACACGCACAGACGCACGCACACACACACACACGCGCACAGACGCACACACACACGCAGAAATATAATGACACACATTGACACGCACACACCATGACAAAGACGCAGGCACACACAGGCACACACACACACACATAAACACACATACACCACATAGAAATATAATAATACACATTGACACACTCGCACCATAAGAAAGGCACACACACACAAAGACACAGGCACACACCGGCACACAAATATAGGTACACAGAAGGCACAGGCACACACACACACAGTGCACAGACAAACATGGGCACATATAGATGCACCCACACACAGACAAAGACACACACACACAGGCACAAAAGCGAACAACAAAGATGATTTTTGGAATGACCACGTGCACAACACAAACATCCACGTCACAAAGATTCTACGGGACACGGGGGGCGGGGGGCGGGGGCGGGGGGACTCCAGGCCATGAGAATAAAAAATCTTTCACGTGGCTCGATCTGGGCCAATCAAGAAGCGTGCGCTACGATCACTGGGAATCAACGCGCGGAGCAATAGGGGAGTGTACGGACGATGAGCGTCCTCACGAATGCCTAACCGCTCCTTTCGAGTTATAGGGAGTGGACTTGTTTGACCATACTTCACCATGCCGGTCGGTGCGGGTTGATGTCGGGGAGGGAGGGAGCCCCACGTTCAAATATCACTCGCCACTGATATCCTCCGGATTATAAGACGCGACGGAGTGTGTGATCCTTCCCAACCGCGTACCCAGTGTCAGTAAAGTTATACGATTCTGACCACGCACACTCACACTTGCCGGACTATAAGACGCACCCTCCCCCATCCCCCGCAACGTTTGCTTTAAAATACAAGGGGGGAGGGGGTGGGGGGGGCTGGAGGGGGAGTATGTCTAATACTCTGGGGTTCATGGTAGCCTTTGATCAGGGATCGAACTGAGGTTGCTGGGTTCATAGGTCGGCTTCCTAAACCACTGTGTGTGCCACTATTCGGTCGAGTAAGCGAGCGAGTTAAAATTCCGGTTTGGAGGGGCGATTGACTCGGCCAATCATCCCTCCCTTTAGGGGGGGGGGTCGATAAAAGAAGCACCACTTCGTGGTGGAAGTCACAACAGCGTTTGTTCGACGGGGATAAAACTTGGCCCCGCCATATGGATGTGGAATGGCTACCACTGGCTCAGCAGGCCTGGGAACGGGAGATGAGCACCAACGCCCCCTGGAAGCTGCCAATTTTGAGCCAGGAAATCTTACACGGCTACCCTCAGTGCGTTTCCGTGCAATTGAAGGATTACATTCGCAAACGCTTCACTCGGCTCACCCACTCACCCACCAACCCCAACCACCAACCCCTCGCCAAACACAAACCAAATGCTGCCACGTCTGTGACTTTCGACTATTTGGGGGCCCAGTCAAAATTGAATTACCACGAACCTCAAACTGCACTGAACGGAAAAAAAAGAAGCAGAGGAGGAAATCTCTCAGACTCGTGTACACGCATATTTATATATATTTCAAAGCTGGTAAAATTGTTAACAGATAAGGGTTTACCCCGCGATGCATTAGAGCGATTGGCTGAGAAGGAACCCTTTCACGGACCCTGCCACCTGTAGCCGTTTAGGGCAGCACAAAGGGGCATGCTGTGCGGAGCTGTAACACAATAGGGCGGCGCGCTAATATTGACAGGTGAGACGCGGTCGTCGAGCCGAAGGTTCTATTTTTTTTTTGTTGCACAAAAGGAACACGCGAAAAAAAGTTAAATGGGAATGCGAGGCCAAATGTCTGCGGATCGCCTACGGGGCGGGGGGGGGGGGGATGTTGGAGAGGCGGTGGGTGGTGTAAGGATGCAGGGAGTAGGGGGAAGGGAGGGAGGGGGAGGGTTCCGAGGAAGGATTGGCAGGTTAAGCGTCAAGAGTTCATGCGAGCGTTGCGTACGAGATGCGGCCTGAGATGTGTCTCATCATTATTCCCCCATATTGTAGACGTAGACCCGCGAGTGGCGTCTCGCTAACCGTTAGGGTGGCAAACTGCTGGCAGTGATTTTCTCAAAGCGTGCAAATGTCTCGATCGCAGCAGTGTGCGATAGCAAGTTCTCTGTGGTAGCTGCGCTGTAATGAACAATGTCTGTAGGGGAGGGCACCGCAGTGGATATGAGAGGTAATATCGCTTCGGAAATATAAATGACGTCATTTTGAAATATATGTTAAAACTTTTAAACTATGAACTATTTTTTTATTCTACCAGGTAAGGCCCACTGAGCTGAACAGCTCTTATTCAGAAGCAACCTGGCCACAAATGATGACGAAGTGGCTTATCATGTGGAAATGTACAGCAGCCAAATACCCTAAAGGCGTGTTTCTAAATGTGGAGGGAAAATCCGGAGGACCCGGAAAAAAATCCACGTGACCATGGCGAGAGAGAGAGACGTCAGCTCCTAATATACAGCAGGTGTCAAGGGTGGGGATCGAACTCACGACCTCTTGTATACCACCACCGTGGCACCCCAGTATCTACTGACGACTTGGTGAGATTTCCATGAGTTAGCAGAGTGCATTATTATTACAACTATGCATTATTTCAACTATAGAGTGCTTCGCAAACGAAGCGAAAGCTTAGGGTCCCAAGGAGCTCAACGGACCAATGTGTTTTTTTATATATATAAAGAATATGGGTGAATAAAATATCATATAGAAATCAAATGTGAATGGACATCAGCGAGTTAATTAATATCCCTATCGAGTGTGCATCGCACGGCAGTGATCAGTCTCTGCCTGGTCACTCTTCTATCGCTAGAAGAGTATCAGAAATGACCACTCACCCACCCACTCACCTACTCACTCAACTACACACTCACTCACTCATTCACTCACTCACTAATTCATTTACTCACCCACCCACTCACTCACCCACTCACCCATTCTCCCACTCACCAACCCACTTACCCACCCACCCATCCACTCACCCACCCACTCACTCCCTCATTCACGCACCCACCAACTCACCCACTCACCCACCCACTCACCCACCCACTCACCCACCCACTCACTCCCTCATTCACGCACCCACCAACTCACCCACCCACCCATCCACTCACCCACCAACTCACCCACCCACTCACCTACTCACCCACCCACTCACCTACTCACCCACCCACTCCCTCACCCACTCACCTACCCACTCACCCACCCACCAACCCACTCACCCACCCACCCATTCACCCACCCACCCACTCACCCACCCACCCACTCACCCACTCACTCACTCACTCACCCACTCACCCACTCACCCACCAACTCACCCACCCACCCACTCACCCAATCACCCACCCACCCACAACACTTTACTGCTTCTTTCCTCGCCCTTCTACAACTTTGAGAATTTCCTCTTCCCATCATCGTCCGTCCTCCCCACACTGTTATAATAAAACAATAAATGACCTCGCTCATTTCAAGAGACGCTTAAACTCTCGTCTGGGAGTCAAAGTCGTTTCCCGGCACTCAAATCAGCAGCGTCGGAGCACATCTCCTGCAGAGATCAGTGGTGGAAATTCCACATTCCCATGACGGGGGCCAGTCCCGTTGAAGCCTCTACGGTGGGGTCCCGTTTTGCTGAGCACAGGCCCAGAGAACCCAAACAACGCCAAGCGTTCAGCAACAAGCAGCACTGGTCCCACCAGTCTGTCGAAGGCCACGCGTGGGTTCACGGTGCCTTGTTTCTGTCGTCTGCCGTCAAACGGCTGCTGGACGTCTTGACGCTGATCGCATTGTCGCTCTTTACGAGCTCATAATGTTATTGGGTTTATTTTTATGACGTGAAAAGCAGGGCTGGCACCCCCCCCGCCCCCACCACACCGCCTGATCCTCCGACCTCGGTCAGTAAGCGGCGTCGCATCTGGGTTTGTGCAGAACTCTCAAAAACACGCCCGGACTGCCAATCAACGGCACACATCGATAGGCAAAGGCGCAGGCCTTGAAAGTGGCTGCACGGGTCCGTGTGTCTCTCTCTATCTCCGTGCTTAGAGCAGGGGTCGGCAAGCCTACGGCTTCCGAGCCGCATGCGGGCCTCTTCAAGGGCTGACGGCTATTCACCACGCGGTGCTCGTTACACCAGTTTAAAGGCGAGTGCTGCCATGGGTCTTGCACTATGGGACTTGCAGCACGCCAGAGGCTCGCCGGAGATCTCACCTCCCGGCGCGGCAGTTGAAGCAATGGAGAACACCACCCCACCCCACTCCACTCCGCCACACCCCGCCCCACCCCACCCCACCCCACTCCACCCCACCCCACTCCACCCCGCCACACCCCGCCCCACCCCACCCCACTCCACCCCACCCCACTCCACCCCACCCCACTCCACCCCACCCCACTCCACCCCACCCCACCCCACTCCACCCTACCCCACCCCACACCACCCCGCTCCACACCATCCCACACCACCCTACCCCACCCCACCCCACCCCGCCCCACACCACCCTACCCCACCCCACCCCACCCCGCCCCACACCACCCTACCCCACCCTACCCCACCCCACCCCACCCCACCACACCCCGCCCCACCCAGTCCCACCCCACCACGCCCCGCCTCCCCGGTCCTGGCCACCACAGTTCGTCGATTTGAGGGTGGGGTGAAGTGAGGGTACCGCCACCTCTTCCAAGATGGAAGGTTGTAACTTCAAATTTAGGGTTGGGGTTACGGGAGGGTGGGGGTTGGTTTAACTCATCATCTCTCCCTGGTAATTACAGACGAGGACCACTCTACGGGACTACTAACTGTGGTTCTACGATGGATAGACTCGGTCCCTGGCATAGCAATGTGACATT